GTTGGGTGTGTCAACCCTATACCCAGAAAATGTAAGTTCCCTTTACATTGCATGTGATTTTAGGAGTGAGGGGATGTTCTGTGCCACACTCATGTACTTACACACAACCTGCGTGCACCCCTACACACACACACACACACACACACACACACACACACACACACACACGAGTGTCTGATGACTGGAAGTCTACAATTTGAATTGTATTCCTTTAAGTACAAACTTCAACTATAAGATGAACAAGGTCTGAGGATCTTATGTAAACATGGTGTTTATAGCTGATAACATTGTATTGTATAATTGAACTTTGCTAAGAGGGTAGAACCTAAATGTTCTCTCGCACACAGAAAAAGATAATCATGAGAGTTTAATTAAACAGATGGTGGAAATACTTCCACAATGCATATGTATATCAAATAACCACGGTGTACACTTTAAATATCTTACCATTTTAGGGGCGCCTGCGTGGCTCAATTGGTTAAGCGCCCAACTCTTGGTTTTGGCTCAGGTCATGATCTCAGGGTCGTGAGATGGAGCCCCGTGTCAGGCTCTGCACTCATCGGGGAGGCTGCTTGAGATTCTCTCTCTCCCTCTGACCCTCCACCCCTAAAATAAATAAATAAAATCTTTTTTAAAAATAAAAAAATAAAGATCTCACAATTTTATATATTAATTATACCTCAGTAAAGCTGAAATAAAACAAAAATCAGAAAAACCAAGTAAACAAACAACAAAAAATAGAATTATATTTCTTTAGCCTGAGCCCTTTGTTCTTGGTAAACTGCTAAGGACCTTGGAGCTTCAGGTTCTAGGCATTTTGGTGAGGAGAAGCTGGGAAAGAGGACCTGAGGATTTTGGGGGGGCTCCACAGTGGTGGTGCTTTGTGGAAGCCCCACCAAGGGGTGGGGTTGAGGTAAGAGTGTCCAGAGCAGAGAGAAAAGGGATTTGCTTTACAAATCAGTGAAGGGCCTGCTAGCTCTGCATTTTGGGTTTCTTTTAAAACTGGAAGCTATCTTGTTTTTAACAATATGTCATAAAGCCTTCAAGAAGTTATTGTACAGGGGCACCTGGCTCGCTTGGTAGAGCATGCGACTCTTGATCTGGGGGTTGTGAGTTCGAGCCCCATGTTGGGCATAGAGCCTACTAAAAAAACAAAAATACATAATACATACTTTAAAAAGAAGATGTTACTGTACAATTTATGATGGAGATGCCTGCTCCTTGGAACCTGAGGGAACTGTACCCGATCTTGGGGTGTGGGTATCGTTTTGTGTGTACGTTTGAATTGCATCTTCTGAACAGAGTCCATAGCTTTCATCAGAATCATAAAGAGGTCCTGAGGAATTGGAGCCCGAGACCTAGCAATGTAGCCTGAGCCTCTGAAGCCGCTGAGGGTCAGTGGCGCTCTCACCAGCCCGCTGGGGTACGGGCACTGGGACAGGTCCGCTGGCTCTCGCATCTGCCTGTCCACCCCAGACCTTGGAGGGCCCTCTGCCATCACGTGAGCACCACCCTTCAAAGGTCTTTGTGTCTCCTTTGGGTTTAAAACAGAAAAGCTCAGGAGCGCCTCGGGTGGCTCGGTCAGTCGAGCGCCTGACTTCAACGGGGCTTGTGATCTTGGGGTCCTGGGATCCAGCCCCACGTCGGGCTCCCCGCTCGGTGCGGAGTCTGCTTGTCCCTCTCCCTCTGCCCCTTCCCCCTGTGCGTGCTCTCTCTCTCTTTCAAATAAATAAATACAGTCTTTAGAAGAAAAAAGGAAAGTGAACATTTTTTCTGACCATAAAAGGAGAAACTTAGAAAATACAGAAAAACATAGTGAAGAAAATACAAATCAGTCATAATCCTACTAAAGAATTAACCACTGTAAACATTTTGAGGTGTTCCCTTCCAGATTTTCTCTTCTTCTTCTGTATTTTTAAGAGAGAGTTGAGATCATAGTATGTCTATGAACAGAGCCCCTTTTCACTTAACATGACATCATAATCATCTCGCCTGCCATTAAAAAGTCTTCATTAGCATCACGTTCCTCGGCTTCACAATTATTCCATTATATGGCTTCCATACCCATTCTTCTATCATTGGGCATTTGCATTGTTCCTAGCTTTTTGCTTTAATAAATAATTCAGTGAAAAGCCTCTTTGGGCAACAAGCCGTGCTTACATCTTAGATTATTTCTTTCTGGTAGATTCCTAGAAGTCTCCTTTGTGCTTTGTAGGTATCGCGAGTTAAGATGTTGCTGAGACCCATCTGGGAAGTGTGGATATTGCTAAGGAGCGCAGGCTGTGAGATTGGGCCAAGCAACAACATCCACTGGGTGCTGTGGACACAGCGGAGGCTTAAGAAATGAGAGCCAGTCTTGGTCTTTGAGGACTTTATCGTGTAGTGCAGAGCCACAACACACATAAATAGCCTAACGGAAGAGATACTTGATCTCAGAACGTTGGGGGAGCCATGCATGAGTTTCAGAATGGGAGAGGGGTTTTTATGTGTATTCATATTGCACTTTCTGGAGAAGGAGCTTTCAACAGAGTCTTTTCATCTATACAGCTGTAAGGAATTCCCTATTTAGTGATGGTTTTGGGTGTGTGGATGGGAAGTCAATTAATTTTCCCTATTTTTTCTTTTGCTATTTTATAGTTTTTTTAGGATAGAAAAATGAGGCATGTGGGTGCCTCAGTCAGGTAAGCCTTGGATTTCGGCTCAGGTCCCGATCTCAGGGTCCCGGGGTGGAGCCCCGCCTCGGGCTCTGCGCTCACTGGGGAATGTGCTTGTCCCTCTGCCCTTCCCCCACTTGTGCTCTCTCTCTCTCGCTCAGATAAATAAATAAAATCTTTAAAAAAATAGGGAGTGTAATAGAAAAATAAGAAAGTTCTCATGTGCCATTAAGATGACAGAAAGAGTATACTAATATGACAGGCAGGGTCCTGGTTTGGGGGGGGACCTTGAGGTAGGGTATAGGAGAGGCTACAGCCCCTACCCGGCAGGTGTGAGGCAGATTTTGGCAGCATTAGTCACCTGTCCCTGCAGTGACCTACCAATCCGTTTACATATAAATCTGCTCCTGCCAGCACGAGCGGGTGTTACATGAGCCTAATGCCTACGGGATCATGTTATCAGAACATTATGTTTCGCAAGTGCATGGCACATTTGATAGTACAAACCAATGTTTCCTCGTCCCTCTCCCAGAGCCTTAGTCCTCAACTGGTTGCTAAGAGTTAAAGGAGCTTCTTACTGATCATTCATGGTCATCAGAAAAGCCAGTCAGCTCTGCCAACATGGAAAAGGCAAGGAGATGTGGTCATTGTGTGGCTTCCAGGCCTTTCATTCAGGGTCAGAATTAAATGTGTGCGTGGAAATTGACAGCCATCGATCATATTTATTTTCCAAAATCTGTTCTGACCACTCTCTTGTTTGGCTAGTTCTTCCACTGGGAGGATGAGAGGCACAGGCCAGATGGTGGCCTTGTCCAGGCATTTCCATGGGACAGACACCCACAGTTGCAAGGACCCCCACAGAACCCTGTCTCAGCTCAGCTTGTTGTGAGATTTCATGGGTGCTGTCAAGTTGAATGCCCACGGTCAAGACAACTGGGATGGGGGTGCATGTCTCGTTGCTCCCTTTCCCTGGGGTATTCACCCCCATCTGTGGCTGGAGTGGACAGGTCCCCAGTAGAGGGTCAATGTGCAGAGCATGACTAGACAAGAGAGACCAGCCATAGGCAGACACGTGCCCTGACTCAGAAGCTCCCTAAGTCTTTCCACCTAGCAACCTTTAATCTGGTGTACTAACAAAATCTGTGTAATTCTATTATTATTAATTGTTATTCTTGTTATCGTTATTATTAAGTTCCAGTTGGCTGTCTCTACAGGTTCTGCTGAGTTGTTTTTCTTCCCTCACTCTTGGCTTCTACAGAATAAATCCCTCTCTCATTCCCTGTCACTCTTCTTTCCATTGATCCTTTGTTTTCTCCAGACCCAGAATCACTTAGTCTCCCAAAGGGCTTGAATCTACCTGTAATATATGCGCCCAGTACAGGCATCACATAAGCCTAATTGTCAGTTGGCCTCAGCTGCATTGGCCAAAAGCACCAAACCCCACCATGAGCCAGATGGAGGTCTGGGAGGAGCCAGCCACTGCCCACCCCTCAGATACAGGGAATACCCACTCTTCCCGTCAAGAGCGGGAAAACAGTAAGCAAACATATCTCTGACCACTGCCAGCCCTAATCCATAATGCCAAATAAACAAGCAGGATAACACTCCAAATATGATCCTTTGTTTGTGGTTGTAGGGGAGAGAGCTAAAAGCTTAGACCTCCGGAGGATATTGTTAAGAAATTCTTCCTCGTATTTAATCAGACTTGCCTTGGCTATGACTTAAGCTTACATATTCTGGTTCTATCCAGACAGAGACACTCTTCTCTTCCCTACATCTGATATTTCTAATAATACATCTTTAATACATTATGTTTTACATATAAAACATCTCATATGGAAGATAATTTTAATAAAACATTTTATATGTAAAAAGATGATATTGTATAGTTCAATAGGACTTATATTTTATATTTAAATGTTACATTTATCAGTATTTTACAAGTAAAATATACTTGTGTAAAAGTGTTATAGACTTAGAGACACGAAACATGAAATGAAGCGTTTTATATTATATACTGGCAAATATTTAAAAACCTGTCCAAAATATAGGCTACTTAAATATATTAAAAGGAGTCAGTATTTAAATCCGTGGTTTTAAATACTGACTCCTTTTAATAAGTCATTCGACTTAAATATAAAGTAATTACATATGGGTTATATTACAAATATAATAGGGATTAGGTAACTTTTGCGTAAGTAACCGGGGCCACCAAACACCTTCGGTTGTCAAGAGGACTCTCAGATCGGGTCTGGTCCGCCCGGAGAATTAGCGTGTGCGGGCCACAGCGCCCCCTACCGCTGCACACACCCGCGCCCTCACGGCTGTCTTTCCTCCCGCCCGCAGGCATCGGCAAGAACGTCATCTGCGACCGCACGGCCACCCCGCTGGACGCCTTCCGCATGATGTCGGCCGCCCACTACTACCCCAAGCTCATGAGCATCATGGGCAACGTGCTGCGCTTCCTGCCGGCCTTCGTGCGCATGAAGCAACTCATCGAGGAGGGCTACGTGGGCGAGCTGCTGGTGTGCGAGGTGCAGGTGCACAGCGGCAGCCTGCTGGGCAAGAAGTACAACTGGAGCTGCGACGACCTGATGGGCGGCGGCGGCCTGCACTCGGTGGGCACCTACATCATCGACCTGCTCACCTTCCTCACCGGCCAGAAGGCCGTCAAGGTCCACGGGCTGCTCAAGACCTTCGTGAAGCAGACCGACCACATCAAGGGCATCCGCCAGATCACCAGCGACGACTTCTGCACCTTCCAGATGGTGCTGGAGGGCGGGGTGTGCTGCACCGTCACCCTCAACTTCAACGTGCCAGGCGACTTCAAGCAGGACGTGACCGTGGTGGGCTCGGCCGGGCGCCTGCTAGCGGTGGGCACGGACCTGTACGGGCAGCGCAACGGCGCCCCACAGCAGGAGCTGCTGCTGCAGGACGCCACGCCCATCAGCAACTCCCTGCTGCCCGAGAAGGCCTTCAGCGACATCCCGTCGCCCTACCTGCGCGGCACCATCAAGATGATGCAGGCCGTGCGCCAGGCCTTCCAGGACCAGGACGACCGGCGCACGTGGGACGGGCGGCCGCTCACCATGGCCGCCACCTTCGATGACTGCCTGTACGCCCTGTGCGTGGTGGACACCATCAAGAGGTCCAGCCAGACGGGCGAGTGGCAGAACATTGCCATCATGACCGAGGAGCCCGAGCTGAGCCCCGCCTACCTGATCAGCGAGGCCATGCGACGCAGCAGGATGTCCCTGTACTGTTAGCGCAGGACTGGGGACCTGGGGCGGGGGGGATGCAGGTGCTCCACGTGGAGCCCAGAGAGCGAGGGAAGGGGGAGCGGGCAGAGGCGGCCTGGAGGAGTGCAGGGCGGGAAGGTGGTGAGGGGGCAGTGTGAGTAAGTGGCATCCGAGGAGGTGAATCCGAGCCCGGGTGAGGGGCACCGAGGAAGACTGTTGGCAGGCCGAGCTAGTAACAGCCTGGGAGTATTGGGGGGGGCAGGGGGGGCGCCTGCCATTCCTGACGTCATGCCTGCCGGCCATTTGCATGAAGGAGAAAGGCTTAGCTTCTGATGCCCCTTATCATGAGAAGCAGAGAGGGCGTGCTTTCCTCCTCACCTCATCCACCCCCTTCACCTTGGCCTCCTTGGCAAGCCACAGGCTCCTGCCATCGGTCGGCAAGCTCAGTGGGTGTTGGCTTCCCAACCCCTGCCCCGCCCCGCACCGGCTGCACTCGCTCCTAGCAGGAGAAGGCACATCCCCATCTGTCTGCAGAAGCCTATTAGTCTGGGGAGAAGTAGGGGTGCAGTGGGCTCATGAGAACATTCAAATTCCGGGAAGCCACTTAAAATGTCTGGAGGAAAGAGCACTTGGTAGCAAAGTGCACAGCGATCTTGATGGATTGGTGTTCCTCACAGGAAGGAGGAAGGAGTGTCTTCCCAATTGGTTCATTGCCTCTGGCCCGGCCTGAGATGGCGTAAGGGAGGGCCAGGAACAGCAAGTAAGCCAGAAGGAGAGCACCACAGCACACTGGGCCTGGAGACAGACGAGGCAGAGAATCCACTAGCCCTTTGGGTTTGCCAGCAATTAAAAAATTGCAAGGAGCCACCTTATACTACTACTTCGGGTGGGGTGGAACTGAGTGTAGGGGATCTTGCTACTGAAGTGTCCTTTTACGTGGCTCTCCGGCAGGGTCAAAGGCACAGCAGAAGTGGGTCTGACCACAGGCTCACTTGCTGGGGCCCCCCAGTGTTGCGGTGGGGATCTCCCAGCAGGCGGGAAGGTGAGCCAGCCCTAGATGGGCTTTGGGCTCCAACCCCCATGTCTCCTACCAAGCTGGTAAAGGACTTTTAGGATATTCACCCAGCTTAGTGGATGTAAAAGGGAAGCCTTCAGTTCCACGCAGATAATAATCTTCTTCCCTTAAAAAAAAAAAAAAAAAGGTCAAGGCTCTTTTCCTTAGCTTTGACCTTTGCTTTTAAGATGCTGACACCTGCCAGTTTTTGAATAGGTATTAAACAAAAGGACAACCAGGAACATAATGTTCAGTGTTTCTAATATGGGGTTTTAGAGCTCTCAGGGGTGTGTCTTCATGTAGGGTTGAGAAGGTTAATGTTGGAGAAAACCGTATTCTTCCTTTCCTTTGTCTCTTGTTTCTCTTGTCTTGTCACTCTCTGCTTCCAGAGCTTTTACTGGAGATGGTAGACTGCAGTCTTGGAGCAGGTAGTTCCAAAGGGAACAACTGAAGATACACACACACACACACACACACACACACACACACACACACGCATGCACAAATTAAGGGTTGGTCAGTATTCACCACCACCAAATGTCGCTGAAACAGTTCTTAAAAATTCAGACCTTTCTCGAAAGAAACACCAAGTTAAACATTTTGAAAACGGGGGATTAACCTTTTCTTAATCCTTCATCCCCCCTTTGACATTTGTCAGGCTTGGACGCGGAGACCATTGCTTGTAAATCTACATGGCTTTTCTTTACAGGTCACAGAAATCCAAAAGTTGTCCCTGGCACACAACTGAGGTGTAGACATCTCTTCAGGTGACTGGTGGTAGAATCGGAAGGGAATTTAAGGGGCTGTGAGACTGCCCCCCCCCCCCCCGCCAGGATCCCAGGCTCTGAGGAGGCAGAATCTGAAAATGAACAGAATAGTCCGTTGTATCCTCCATCCTCCTTCCAGGATCGATACACACTGTGTCACCCCTGGCTGCCCGTGGGTGCAGGGTGGGCATGTCCAAACCCCACGGGAATGTTGGTCATTTTCTAGCACAGAGGAAGAAGGATTGCCTTCCCGGAAAGAGTCACCCTACTTCCTGGGGCCCCATTGCAACCTGGCTAGGTTAGTCAGCTGACACTCTCCGGGGTACATGATGTTCCCTGACATCACGACTTCGTAATGAGCATGCCGGCTTTTGTGGCTGTCAATTCAAAACTAGACATTTAGTAGAAGGAACGAGTCCCAGTAATAGTTTGGGCAGAGGGCTGTGCAGTGGACTATTTGGGTTCAGGTTCTTCTAAATTGCCCTCTGGGTAAATAACTTTTGTAGACACTGAGTGGAAAGAATTTTTTTCCCTATCTAGCCCAAAAGGCTGTGATTAAGGATGAAGGGAGAGGGAACTAGATGATTCTATGGGTCTCATTTTCCTAAGTCGTTTATAATCTAAGTAGGGCTATTCCAGGGGTTTCAGTTTTATGTTTCTGTACTTAACCAAAAGACTTGGGAAGTTTTTTTTTGTTTTTTTCTTTCAAAGGCTTCTGAGTTCTGTGATAAATATTCAGTGTCTAAAACAAAAAATTCTCATTTGGGGCTAGGGTATATAGAAAGAAAAGATATATTCTTGAAGCATGAAAAATATTTTAGTAAGCACTCAAATTTTATCTACTGAAATGCATGTAGTAGGTAGATGCAGGAAGGAGAGGAACTAAGTTCATTTGTAAATACAAAACTTATAGGAAATGAGTTTAAGATACTTCTTTAGTGCTCCTTTTTGCCCCTGGACTACCACTTGCAAAGCCTTGATTGAGAGCCATAATGGGGAGCTGAGATGTCAGGCTTTCGACAAAGCCTCCTTGGGGCAAAGCCCAGCACCTCCTAGTGTGCTCGGGGGACTGGATACCATTGGGCGACTGTGATCCAGGACGAGGCCCCCGCAGCAATCCAGCCTCTTTCCGTTCTGGTTACGGTGTTTCAAAGACCCTGTGTAGAGGAGGCACCATTTTAGGGTCTTCACATTTAGTCTCTATTGCTTGATTTGTGTGGATGCCTCTGGTCCCGGAAATTTGAGCTCATGCTCCTGGCTGCTCATGCTACTGGTTGAGAGAGGTTGGAGGTCAGTGGTTCTTACCTGGTATTCGCACATGTTTGGAATGCTCTGGGCTTACTTGGAAAGTTTGGATTCTCATGAGTTTTCTTGAGTCCATGACCACTGTCCGCTCTTGCATGATTTCTCCTCTCAATGGGAGACACAGTGCAGGGTACCACACATGCTCCCTGCCTCCCCGGTGGCGAGTATCTGTGGGTCGGGTGTATCTGGACTCTCTAGGGACAGACAGTCTTGGCTGACTCCACTCCAAGACAAACTTCTCCCGGACCCCTTCTCCATCGACAGAGAGCCACCAAGTACCCTCTGTGCGCCAACATTTCTCGATCATCCACTGTGTGCAGGGTATTTTAGGTAAATTATGTCATTGAATCCCCCCAATGACCCTGTGGTATTAGGTATTGTTCTTCCCATGACACACATTAGAAAATCAAGGCTCTTACGGGAAGAGTAGCTTGCCCTAAGTCACACAACTATTAAGCAGAAGTGGAGTCCCCTGAAGCCAAAACTTTTCTTCTCCAAACCACGTGGCCTCCTGAGAAGAAAGATTTGTACCGCTGCTGTTCTTGCCAGGAAGGAGGGCACTCCTTGTTGAGCACTGAGGGGGCCTCTCTCGCCATCCCGCGGAGCCTCCTGTGACTCATGCTGAATGTGACCTGCATGGGCCTCTCCCCAACTGCTGTCCACACCCTCCTGTTGAGCAGGATCCCACATTTGATGGTGTGCCAGAAGGTTCCTTATAGAACTGCAAATAGAAGCAGTTGATTTTTCTTCCCCTTCCAAAATGGAAATGGCACTCCGCTTCTTTTAAAATCGACTTCCTAAGTTGATTCTGATCGGAGGTGATGCAGCAAACCGCAGAGTTGGGACTTTTCAAGACACCATTGGCCCACTATTATAGGTGGCCTTGGATTTCGCTCTGGGTCATCTAACAATAGGAAAATGTCTTCTCAGGGAGTGGGGCTTTTAGAGGTCATTTGTTTGTGACTCCGATTTACCTGTGCATTTTATTCATACCTCTACACTCTCAACTCTCCTCACCTCCTCTTCTAGCCCAACTGTTGAATTTGAGCTGGGTCATAAAGTAGGTGTCGGGTGGCATCGTTTTTCTTCCGGTGGATATGGGGCTTAGATTTCAGCATGCTGGGGAGACATCCTGGGGAGAAAGCAGCTCTGGTGGCATCTGAAGGGACTCCAGAGCCCAGTGTCTTCACATCCTTTATTTTATATCCCAGAGAGGTTAAGTGATGGCAGAGGTCACACTGCTTCTTAGGGGTAGAACCCAGGACTAGAAGCCCCACGTTTCAAGTCCCACCTTGCCACACACAGCACCTTCAGAGCCCTCAGTTGGGGACAGGGAGGCGGAGAGGTGCAGTGACCTGTCTGAGGTCCCGTGGCTAGTTGGTGGAGGAGTCAGGATTAGGACTCAGACCTGCAACTGACTATTCCCTGAGCTACTGTGGGTGAATCCATTTTTTAGTAACTCAGTTATGTCTCCAATATACTCAGAAACTAGCTGTTTTTTTTGTTTTGTTTTGTTTTAAGATTTCTTATTTATTTATTTGACACAGAGAGAGACAGCAAGAGAGAGAACACAAGCAGGGGGAGTGGGAGAGGGAGAAGCAGGCTTCCCGCTGAGCAGGGATCCTGATGCAGGGCTCGATCCCAGGACTCTGGGATCGTGACCTGAGCCGAAGGCAGACGCTTAACGACTGAACCACCCGGGCGCCCCAGAAACTAGCTGTTTTAAATTTCCCAATGTGATTTTCATGTGAACAGTTTTCTGTAGTTTGTATTGTATTTGGCAAGGATGGGGGACACACGTTTCGATGTCCATCTTTGGGATTTCCTAAGGCCAGCTCTGCTAAGATACCCCCGGCCCCCCGCCCATGCCCACTCCTCTCCGAGACACAGATCCAGGCCTTGGCTGCCTTATGATGCCTGCTCCACCTGCTGCCTCCTTTCTTGGGCCATCAAAGCCCCGAAGTTACCAGGGCAGAGACCATGACAATGGGGAGCTCATTAAAAAGAAACTATCAGAGCCCCGAATTTCAGGTTTCTTTTGGGGACAGGGAGGAGGGCAATGGCAGGAGAACTGGTTGTGTCTGCAGCGTGGAGTGAGTCCTGACCAGCGGCTGGCACGCCCCACCTGCCCTGCCCCATCTTAGGCAGAGAAGCGGGCTGATGGCAGTCCTCTGAGTCCCAGGGGACAATCCTGACTGAGTCAGGCTCCCAGGACCTCCCACAAGAGGAGTGAAGGCCTCCCGTGCTGCTATCAGAGTTGATGGGCTCGGTGGCCTCTCAGAGTCTGGAGGTGAGGCTGCTCTTGAATCT